GAAAGAAATCTTGATCGTGATCTTAATCTGATGGTGCTGCTCTGGCTCATGCCAATGAAAAGCAAAACATACCCTCTATCATCACGACGAAACTAGTCGTGTCGGTTTCTGGCAGGAATTCTGATGAGCTTTCCCAATGCTAGCTGTTATTCTACGGCTGTCCTGAATGAACCCTACCTATACCTGCGAAAGCCTACGTTTCTGCAGGGTCCCGATAACTGCATATTAGGGCTAAAGATAGTAACCTACAGAGGAGGAGGCTATGGTAGTCTAAGGTAACCGACGGACGCGGTACCCTGTCCCATCGCTCAGGGCTTTTGACGGCTGTCTCATTGCGGGTCTGCAGGTTCTTGCGAGCAAAACACGTCGCACGATGTCCGAAGGTCTGCCAGGCTGCAAGACTTTGAAACACAATGTCGGCCTGAAAGAGAGACAGGCACCCCTTCCTAGTAAGAGGTCCCCTGTTCACTGTATCACTGATTAAATTAAAACAAGGAGACCTCCTCAAATAAAAAGGGGGCACACGACTGTGACTGGAGAAAATGGATCAAATCACATGCATCGACGGTGCCTTACAGCACAGCAGGCTCCGAATCGACGAGCCACACTTCGAAATATCTCGCATGGATCAAAACCCTCAACCCCTAAACCCCTGACTCTGACCACCAAACCCTCAACCATAAATTCGTTGAAATGTCGAGGGCTTCAGCCAGAAGTACCACGACTCCTGCAAAGGCTCGGCGGTGCCCCAGTCTTTCTTCATGGATCTGGGGAATGGTTGGGCCTAAATATTTTAGAATAAGGTTTATAGTATGATTCTAGGGTATGAAGGAAGATTTTCCTTGCTATCCCGACGCCTATATTGATGCAGATGGCGTTCTCGGCTTTAGGGTTTAGGACTTTCGGTAGAAGGGCTATACCCCGCAACTTCGACCACGTCCTGCTGCTTTTTCTTTGCCTACGAGACGGGTTGGCGGTATGCTACAGAATGATGTAGAGCTGTATGCTGTAGCTGGGGTATAATCAGTACGAACTATGAGCAAAAACTCCTGCTGCGGGCTACCTGCTCAGTCTTTGTGGAGCTGGGTCGGCCCAGAGACTCTAACACCAACACTGGCAAACCAATGCATAGGGACCTTATTGTCTAGAGCATAGGTTTGGGGGTATGCTTTTGTTTACGTCTATAGTATTGTAAATTACAGCAGGCTTGCTCAACAAGGGATCCGTAGCAAGTGACGTCCATAACCCCCCTTAGAACCATAATTTCGTTTTGGGTTTTATATGAGCAAAGAATAATTCATACATAAGGAGACTGTAGGCGTTGGAGTCTCCGGAAACCTGGCTTGATGCTGGCATGGTCTGGTCCGACACTCGGTCCCAAAACCACCTGGCACCTTAGAAGAACAAGTTTCTGTCCAAGGTGCCTATTTTAGCATCATCTTCTATTGTCTTGCCTCACAAGGCTCACTGCTTCTGCGCTGCCACCTAAAGCTCGAAGTAGAGGGACTCTTGAATTTTAAACTCCGTCATGGGCTCTGCAGGGTGGATCTTCAGGGCGCGTGTGCTCTGTCTCGTGGGAATGCACTTTTGCCACAAAGCCGCTGCCAGAGCACCGAGGGCGATGGGATGGCGCATCTCCACGAATGCGTACCCCTTGCACTTGGACCCGGTCGTCTTCGGCATCTGAAGAGAGTAACGGTCCGACGTAAGGCTGTCGAGAAATTCCCGCATTTCCTGCTCTGTGCAGCGTGCCGGGACGTTCCGGATCATCATCTTCGAAGATGCAAGCCACTGCAAGCTGCTCGGGTGCAAGCCGCATGCTTCCGTCCCTTAGCTTGCGATGGGAAAGACCTAATTATGCTACATCTAGAAATCACGCACTCATAAACTCTAATACCCAACACCTCACTCCTAAATTCCCCTGGAGGCATCCTTAAATTGAGTGTGCCGGCTTGGATACACTGCGCGCAAAACGGACATCATGGCATGTTGACCCAGGGCCCGAACACGGCCAGACACATCATCACTACAAAGAAGCCTTTTGAGATCTCTTCAACATCAGGATCACATATGCAATCAATGTTTCTGGCGGACTATAGTCTGTTAGACTTTGGGGCACCCAAAGTCCTTGAAGTTTTTGTGAGAAAAATATTGTAAGGCAAGGAAGGTGTGTATACATACATATACTTATATTCATATTGTATGTCTTAGTTTTGTGTTCAGGGTTGAGGGCTCATATTTTGGATTGTGCAGTGGTGCTCTGTTCTCTCTATACCACAGACCCAAACACGATGTAGCACTCACAAACTTTGAGGTGCAAGGCAAACAGGCCTCTTAAGGCGTCAACCCCGGTAAATCCTGACGGCAAAATCGGATGGTCCACATGCCCTCTATGCAACTACTCGGGCTTAAAGCTTGTAGTAATCGTAGGTTAGCACTTTAAACTTTACAGAGTAACCTAGTCATGATTCTAGACTTGATTTGGACCCGTACAATGGGTGATCTCCACACCCAAGGTCGAACCGTGCCACCGAGCTTCAATGGTCCAGCACGGCGGCCTTTCGCCAGGGGCTGCAACCTAAAGCCCTGAACCCCACTTTCAGGATCACGGGAGCCCCAAGACCTTCAAGTGCAGAACAACCCCTCAGCTCTGCAGGGATGGTTTCAGGGCGTTGCCAGGCTCTGGCAAGCTGTGACGAGTTGTCAAAGTCAGAACACAAGCTTCACGTGAGCGTAGCACGACCCCCAAGATTCAAACCCCAAGCATTAAACCCTATATAAGGTGGGTCTTGGTATGAAGTATCCTACGTTTGGGGTCTACATTGAGCTCCGTGATTCTCGGAAGCTCCCATAGTGTGGCTGCAGTGGAGACGCATGTTGATGAGTGTCAAAATGGGTCCATGTAACTCGGTAGACAAACTAACAGTTCATATACTTGTGTATATGCATGTTTATCCAACCTAGACTTGTATATTTATATATATAGATGTATCTATATCGATCTGTATATATGTATATATAGACGTGAACACCACCAGGGCCCCACCAACGAAAGTCTAAGACTTGAACCGAAATCCCAAACCCCCTCGATCCATGCCCCACTTGTGCACCATGTCAACCCCACCGAGACCGTACATGGTTACCCTGCCTTCTTACTCTAGGACCTTATCCAGAACAACCAGCCCGATTCGACATCCCCTTGTTGAGAAACATATTTTTATATCTTCGGAGTTTGGACGACTCCGGCTTGTTATGAATCAATGACCACTCCTTCCCTAAGGCAGAAAGCCCAAGATCCTTCCATAGCCTGATCTTTGAAACCACACACCATAGAATACGAGTCCTCGCAGCCGAAGCGCCTTACACCTTAACTAAGGGGAGTAAAGCGTTTGTCTCTCTCTCTCTCTCTGCAAAGTCAGGCCTCAGGAAGATGATTCTGTTCCGATGACAGCCACTGATTTTCCAGTCCTCCAAGACAGCTCACCGAGGCTCACCAGGCTGTTCAGAATTCTTGTTTGAGGCCACACTAGAGAAATGGAACCCCTGGGAAGGACCCTACCACAAAGAAGAACCCACTGGTCAGCAACGAGGTAGCGCTTACACGGGGATCAGAATACCCTAAACCCAGGAGTGAGACCACAATGAAGGCAAGCACGGCAGTTCCCAGTTGCAAGCAGCACGACATTGGTACTTTGGCACCAAACCCTCAAACTGCAACCCTTGCTCGCGTAAGGGGTTGAGGCACACAGATTGAAGCACTAGGCTTCACGACAAAAACAATCAAAGCCGGCCACGAGCTTCCGGCTTCAACAGTTCTGTGCCTCAAACGAAGTTCTGTGAAGCAGAGAACAAACCTGCACTACGATGAGAGTCTTAGAATAAGGTTTGGGGGTATGTGACAATGCCACAGGTATAGCTGGGAACCCTGATGACGAGTTTTACTACTTATTCAAGCTTCTGTAGTCACCCAACACCCTTGAAGAGCACAGCTTGGCTGACCCGCTAGGCTCAAGTTTAGCTGCCAGCCTTTGTGAGCCTGAGGCCCATCACTCCGTCACAGCAATCAGTTAATGTACGGGCCATAATAATTAGAATACGGTTTTGGGGGATATGAAACTATCCCCTTTATTACGCATGCTGGTTCTATCAGAGTTTCCGCTTCCGCTTGAAGCAGGTGAGCCTGGAGGAGGAGCCACCACGTATCGTTTGGCGGGCAAGTCTGCGCCCTTGCCACTGGAAGTTCCGTTTTGTCGTTGCGGCTCTCTTTCACACCGGATCTCGGGTTTCACTCATACAGAGAGGTTTCGCAGGTATGAAACGTGAGGTGCTGCCGCGATCTTTCTTGTGCTACACATGCTTGCACATACAGGAATCGAAGCTACGCACATTTTTTCCAATCTCCAATTCCTCCTATTAAAACACACATATGCCTATGTCCTATTCTTATATGGGGAGAGAAAGAGAGAACAAACACTGGCAAACCATGGACAGTTGATCTTGATCAGTGAAGAATATGTAGCAACCTAACTCATCTTTAATTACACCCTAGCCCTAACCTTACACTTGAGGGCTTCATTGCGAGTCTCAATTTCGACAGCAAGCTCATGTTTTCGGTACATGAACCCGTTAAAGACCAGCGAAGCCTAGAGAATCCCTATGACAGAGAACAACCATTAACAACGTTTCCTGCGGCCGAGCTGCGATGTCTTCTGCTGCAAGCACCATGGACATCGCTGGAGAGGCTCCGCAGGAACTGTAAATATCTCGAGCCGGTGGCAACGACAGAAATTGCGGCGGGCGGTTTGGGAATGAAGCCAAGAACTGAGTGTCCAAACTTAGACTCTATATAGCCTCAAGCCTCTATCAATTCTGCCATAAATAGAATAATTGAGCTACCCTTTTGGCCCAAACCCTCTCAGCGCGAAACAGCTCAAACTCCCAAAGCCGTAACCCCTGCATAAACTATATAAGCCCCATTGGAGTCACGAGAGGTTGCTGGCCTGCTGGCGGATGGCCACGCGAATGCCTTCAAAGACGGCACCTCGGACGGCAGGGGGAGGTAAGGGTGGGGTTTAGGGTTGTGGGTTTAGGATTTATTTTAAGACTTAGAGCAGATCGCAGAAAGCTTATACGGAGGCGTTTTTTTAAGCCATTGTTGGTGTGCTTGCCCATATGTGTTCTCAGGTTGGGTAGCTTGGTGTGGTTGCAGCAAAGTTTAAGCTGACGGCTTAAAGGATTGGAGCTGTCAAGGATCAGGCTTGGGCATTTGGGTCCCAGAGAGATTTCCACTGCAGCGGGGAGCCAGAACAACAATGACGACGAAGACGATGACCATTGTAGCGAATATTTTGGTAACATGTGGTGAAGGCTGAGGCGATGACGATGGTCATGACGGTTAATACGGTAAAAGACCAATGATGATGATCATGATGATGATGATGATGACCGTGGTGATGACGATGGTGATGATATGATGCTTGTTACGCCTCAGTCTCAGTGGATTTGTTGAGAACCGCTGCCGGGGTCGAACGATGACCAAGCGCAAGCTCCAAATGGGAATTTCAGAACATCAGGGGCCTTAACACCCACAAACAGTAATGATAGGATCCTCGAAAAAACTGCCTCAGATCAGGGACACCTGATTCAGAAATCCAAACAATGCCCAATATCGCTTTCAGAAAGACATGGCAAGCTTCGAGCGGCAGCCGCTTGATGGTTCCGGACATTCAGTGGAGAGTGCTGTATGCATTGCTGATTCTACCAGCATGCTATGCACATCGCTGCTTTGGCCTTTGCGGACAGTGGTACGTCAGTAGTAATACTGCTGTCAGCACAGCCCCTGGGCCCTGCAAGCCTAAACTTTAGGGTCCTTAAACAGCAATTCCTAAACTAAAGACGCTGCAAACTCCAAAAGCAAGCTGAGCTCCTGACGGCACATCATTGAAGGGAGGCGAAGCTTCGAGTTCACAATCTTCGCAGGAAGCTTGTTTCTCGAGTTTAGGGTCTTAGGTGCAAGGCTGTCGGATTTCAGGTTAAGGGTTCAAGGCTTTAGAGAATTAGGCTTGAGGCTTTGGATTTTGGCTTTCAGGATTTAGGGTTGAGGGATGTTGAGGGTTTTGGGGTGCAGGGCGTCTTGGGGTTAAGGCGGTTCAGGTCTTCGGGGTCCTTGGACTACGCCTTATGTCAGAGACGCCCAGAAAACCGCGAACCCCTACATTCCGACTCCCGGCAAACCTTGAGACCCGCATAAGAAGCCTTCAAGACCTCTGTACAACCTACAGCAAACTCCATAAAGTTGGAAACCGGATTAAGGCCAAATAGTGCTGGGATTCCCTATACAGTACTCTTAAGGACTGAGGCTATTGGGCTTGCAACTTTTTGGCTTCTACTGTAAGGTAAAGGGACAATGCCCCAAACCCCCAGCACAAGCGCATAATCCCAATCAAGAATCCTCAACCAAAAACAAAGGACAGAAAAAAACCAAAAGCCTCCTGCATCAGATTCCAAAGGTCGCTGAAGGGGCTGTCGGCCACCTCGTGCTCCGGCTTTTGGCTTTGACGACTTCAGGGGTTACTGTAAATAGAGTCTAGGAGGCCTCATAGTAGTTCCTTTTTGGGATTACCTCATAAGATTCTAAATATGAACCCCAAAAAGGAACTACTTTGGGGCCTTAGGGTAGGAGTATGTAAGGGTTTGGGTTTAGGCGGATCTGGGGTTTCAGATTCTCTTGGGGTTTTAGATGTCTGGATTTGTCTGGGGAAAGGGGGGCGAAGAAAGGGCTTATTGCTTGCGGCATGCAAATCAGGGTCTGTTTGCGGGCCACTGTGGCTCTAAACTGTAGCCTTAAACCCGAAACCCTAGAACCCTGGACCCCAAACCCTAAACCCTAGCAACCCCCAAACCCTACACCCCAAATTGAGCTGCAACCCGGGACCTGAAGCTCAACCTGTAGCCGGCAAAGACCTACTTTTTTGAGGAAATGTTTTCGGCTACAGGAAGCTCCGAGATATCAAAACCCGAAAGCCATATCCAGAAAGCTCCCGTTCTGGCGCCCCGGCAATGCCGGCAAGAGAGGGGTCACGAGAGCCATGTAGCACCTGTGGGTGACATGGTTTGGGGGATTACAGCCTGCAATTTTGGGGCCGGAGCCAGAGTCCCGTCCCTTTGAGGTAAAAGCCAGAAAGTAGGAATATGATTGTCCTGACCCTTCTATGGTAAATTATAGGGTATCCTACCATGAAACCATATTCCAACTTTCTGGCTTTTACTGTACAGTCGTGGTGACATGCATACTAGGGTCTTGCCATGCCGCCAATTTTGATCGTGGCGTCCTTGCATGTATTCTTGACCTAGCCGTACTGTTCCACACAGCAGTGACTTGCCACAACTATCGAACTTTGAACTCATGCTGCTCACGGCGGACTAAACACGATTAAGGACACCCCCTAAACTGTCCTGACTACGTTCCGGCGGCATCTGAGTTACACCTCTTGGGCCCCTAGACACATACGCCTGCACGAATACGGAAGGCATCCCCGGGCCGACACTTTCGAGCTACATGTGTAATACTTCCACACCCATCATTTGGGGTTTATCCCTCGATAATATGGTCTAAGAAATATGGTCGTAAACACAGGAACCCTTAGTACCCTACCGTCAACTCCAAACCTTTTCGGTCAGGGCTTTGGGAGTTTCAGCTTGACCTCGACAAGCTTTGACATTCCGGAAGCACTCCAAAACCGCACCTGGGTTGGGGTTCTTTGGGGTTCCGGGAAAACAGCAACCTCCATAGAGGTCGCCGTGTAGTCTACCCCCAAACATCTGCCAAACCCTCCTACGCCACCTCGCTAACTAACCCGAAGCCTGCCTCCCCCTAAGGCCCCACGTACCCATACAGTTTTTTTATATAGGCCTTATACTCCCTATATAGGGACCCCTTTAAGGCCCAAGTATCTGACAAAAGATACATGGAGCCTTTGGGTCCCAAACCCTCATCCCCAGATCCTAAACCCAAAACTCTTGGACCACACATCCCAGACCGCCTAAACCCTGGTAACCTCAAACCCCGATCCTCAAACCTTGAAACCCAAAATCCGACGCCCTCTAAACCCCAACCTCTAAATCCCCCTAAACTCCAAACCCGAAAATCCACAATTCCTGCAAAACAAACCAACTCATCCTAGATCCTAAAGCCTCATGGCCTCCTAAACCCTCAACCCCTAAACCCCCCAAAACCCCTAAACCCTAGACCCCTAAACCCCTAAACCCACATGGCCATGGCCCTCCCGAGGTGCTGGCGGCGGTGGAAGCCCCCATCGATCGACCCCAAACTCCGACCTCGGAGGCTTCGCAACATTTTTTGGGGCTTCTGGTGGAAGAGGTCAGGAAACTGCATATTTGGTATCATCACCACCACCACCTCTATATGCACATCTATATCGGATTTTTGTGGTGATTGAAACTGGGGACATCATGGCTTGCTTTTTCTTGTGAGCTTGTTCTTGCTTGTTTCAAGCGTTACTTCTGCTTTGGCGTTGCTGGGAATGCTTAGGTACTTGATCGGCAAGCTGCACAGGGTGGCAGAGTCCTTCGGTTTTTGAGGCATCGGGTTCCGGGTGTGGGTTTAAGTCTTACGGGGCTTGCAGGGTTCAGGGCTTTAGAGTGATCTGGCAGGCTTCAGACAACTGAGAGGATGGCAGAATTATGACCCGGAGGCTTACGGTATGCGGATCCAAAATGCTGCTGGGTCAGTATACGTGCATGTAGGTGCCGAAAACTCTGATGCGCAGAGTTTATGTGCTTGTTGATTCCTGAAGTGCCGTCCACCCAACCCCATCCGAACCAGGCACTTGGGAAGATAAGAGATCTGACAATAGGCACCCGCCGTTACCTTAAGACTCCAAGCATGCAACCAGTACCTACAGTGGGGTCTAAAGTCTATAAGTAACACCTACTTTGAGCTATCTGGAGCCTTAGGGTTACCCGTAATTCCCTACAATTCTCTGCGAAACAAGACCTTACTTGGAGGGTCGAGGGACTTAGCAAGTAGTTATTATATAGACTTATAAGTACCTTAATGGGGACCCTAATTGGGGTTATGGTACTTATAACTCTTTAAAATAACTACTTACTAAGTCCCCTGACCCTCCAAGCAGCCTTCTCCCAGGCCAAAGTTGCAACTTCAGCTTCGGCTGTAGGGCCCGCGCTCGAGTGTAGCCGCGCTTTTCTCGTAGGTTCTGGATCACCTGAGTTAACGACATCATGAATGGGCTAGACGTGACGACGCAGTACGAGGAAGGGGTGACGAGTTCCGAAAACAAGGCTGTCAACAGAAGTAAAGCAAGCTTTGCAGAACTCGTTGTAACATCTTTCGCTTTGCAAGCTTGACACAAGCCCACCAGTGACCGACCCAGACGAACAAATGCAATCCTGGTGATAAGTCCAAGGGGCTGCTTTGGGAGATTCTGTTGCATAAAACGCATTAGCCACCACTTGGTAACTCGGCTTCATCCAAAAACCTTGAAAAGGTCAGTGCGGACACTGTAAGGGGTTTGAGGCGATTTGAGGGTATCGAACGGTTCCCAGCTAAAGTCCAAGGATTAGGATTCAGCCCCAGATTGAACCCGCACCTATACTCAAGCTTTTCCTGAGGACCTTCCAAGTCTCTAATTCAAAACCTCATGGATCTTTCGTGCAGGTTCGCCAACCTGCGGTATGGGGTTAATATAGGGGCCTTTTTGATTAGAATAGGGTTTTGGAAGAATCATGTGGAGGAATATTGTAGCTTCTATATTAATTACCAACTGACCCAACCACCTGCACAGTATAGCATCCGAAGCCCTTGACCCGCAACCGGGTCTTGGAAATCGTCATCGATCCTTCTTGCAGCATGAGTGACGGCCGCCAGGTCATCACGTTCGAAGTAGCCCAAAGAGACATACTCACCGCCACTCATACCTGCGTTGAGCGATTTAGGGTTTGGAGTCTGCAGCTTAGGAGTTTAGGCATTTTAGGATCTTCAGTCTGGGGATTATAGAATGCAAATGCTCCAAAGTGCAGCTTTAACTCTAGAAATCCAAAGAACACCTGAGCCATCATGAGCCTGACAAATTCAGCTCTAAATCTTCCGGAAGTGTCACTGAACAGCTGCTCTAGAAAATGAAGGTCTTTGTAGTTCGCAAAGTGCCCTGGAAAACGCGAGGCACCACTTAAAGTACCAAAACGACAGGCAGGCTCATGGGCTTGGGGCACAGAGCTTTCAAGCCTTTTTAGACTCAGTGGCTGCACTGCGGTCAGCTAATCTCTCCAACCTGATCATCGAAAGCTAGGTTCCCAAACGCGCACGGATGCAGGAATCCTACTAAGAAGCTGTGTCATCGGAAGTGAGACTGGAAGAAAGACTTCATGGGCACATTGACACTCGTCATAATGGCAGCACGAAGTCAAGGTGGAGCATAATCCAACAGACCTGAACTCAATAAACATTGAACTCTCCACCTCTCGACCACGGAATCGCTAAAGTCCATCGGACCCATTATTATGCGCTTAAGCGTCTTTTTGTAGGTTCATATCGAGTGTTTAAGGGATTTCATGGGTTATATAGGCCCTAAACCCTAAACCCTAGAACCCTTTCGGGTTGCGCTGCTGATTGCCACACTTCTAATCTAGAGCCCCTGATGCCTGAGCCGGAGAAGTCGAAACAGCAGACTGCGATGTTCAAGGGCAGGAAGCAGTAGACCTTCCAAGCACATCGCAGGGGGCCCGAATAACTAGACTAGGGTTATGATACTATAATTAGTGTCTACGGGCTAAGGTTTAGAACATAATATGGAGGCTTTGACAATGAGAATAGCGTTTCGGGGTGTATATGCTATCATTACAATAAAAACCTAAGGAAGAACAGCTGGTAGTTATTTAGGCCCCCCTAGTACAGCGGACAGTAGGACATTCAGAGAGATCTCATTTTCCAACACCGGCATTCCCAGTAAATAGGTCAACTATGACCAGTTGTTATTTTTTTTTTGGACGGGTGTCTTCCAACTTCAGAAACAAACACCATTAGCATAGCTTCGACTTTCAATCCAGTTCCAAAAAATACAGTGAGGTTTTGGATTCAAGCTCATACGTGTATGAGGAGTGAGGCTCGGGTGTTTGAGCTTCCCAGGTTGCAGTAGACTTTCAGTCTCGGGTGTATTGGAAAACGGTGCAGCCCAGTTATCTGGGCGGCGGGATATGACATGTATGTTAGTATGCACTGGCCTGGGCGTTACGCTGTCGGTTTCAGGCTTCTAAAGCTCGACCAGTCACGGCAGCCAAACCAAATGGCCGATACTGACGTACCCAAGTCACTGCTGACTTTATCCCTGAACTGTCAAGACCTGAGGGTTGCGACAGCAGGTCCGAGTTGAAGGGTTTATACCTCAATCCTTATAGAAAATCCCCAATCGCCAAATTACCCCGAACCCACAAACAAACGCACCAACAACCGACCTACATACACATATTAACAGACAAATCGAGTTGACTAACTAGCCAATAACGAAAGAACGAACCAATTAAGTACTTAGTTCATTGAGCATTTAGTTCAGTAATTAGCTTATTCAGTTAGTTAACGGGGTATAACTATGTAAACGGTTGATGGATCGAAAAACTGACACAGACGGGGTAGCCTCGTATTCCACCCCACACATATATACTGTAGTGATACGGGACGGCCACTATAGTCTAATCATGGTTAAAACCCATATGTATAAACATCTGTATGTGTGGTATGTGTACATTGAGCATATGTATATGCATATGGAAAATATTAATATGCATGACCGGTGTATTCATATATATATACATATATATATATATATATATGTATATATGTATACATGTATATATGTATATATGTATATATGTATATATGTATATATGTATATATGTATACATACACGCATACATGTATATATGTATATCTATATAGATACACATATACACAGACATTACTAATCAGGAACCTTCCGAAGTAGTATTTGTTGTATTAAGCTGTCTCCGAAACTCCTGGGTTTACCTGGCCTGAAGAAAGGCGTCCAAGCGAGAGCAAGCGTTTCCATGGCAGCAGACGACCTGACGGTTGAGGGCTTTGATTTCAGGTTGCCGTAATTAGTTCAAACCAACAGAAGTAGTACGCCAATACGCTTGCTGTGCGTCTCTGACCGGATTACCTGGAGTATTGGACGGGCCTTAGTCGCAAGACTTGAGCGCTGGAATCTTCGGCCCATCTCGCCCCGGGGCTTCATGGGGGGAGATCTGTGAGGCCTTTCAAAGCTTCCCGGCTACAAAGATCCTAATATTTCACGTCGCGAGTTTTTCGCTGCAGGAACAGGGTGAAGGAGGGTGAAGCAGCTGTCACAGTGGGTTTTACGGTCACTTTCGGAGGAAGTTCACCACCTTGCCGATCCATTTTTGTTGATCTTGAAAAAGCTCCTGCAGTAACCCCAAACCATTGATTGGCACATGTATCCCAAACCCGAAACACCCATACACAAAACCCAAGATCCAACAAACGAAAATAATATAAATCTCAGACTTAAACCCTGACCGACCCCAACACCTTTCCAGTTCCCTAGGGATCCCTCCTGCCCTAGCACCCTACCAACTTGGCCACCGGCCACTGCTTTCTCATCGGTTTTGGCGGTGTGTGCCCTGGGCGTGACAGAAAAATCAAGGGTGTCATCCGTAACGCTGGTTTTTGGTGGGACTCAGGGGACTTAGGGGTTTAAAGGGTTCGGATCTAGGATTTAGGGTTTAGGGTATCAAGTTGGAACTTGATGCTATCGTTTGTCCTACATGTAACCTAAAGATCTCGACACGACTATCCTCATGCCATCTTACAACTGTTGATTTACGGTATGGGTTTCAGCGAGCCGGGTCTGGCTTCGAGGAGTTCTACAAGCGTCTTCATGACCTCCACATTCGAGGGATTCCGCTTGGGCAGACTTAGTGTGGGGACTATCTCGGCTTCCGCTTCCTGCCCTTTATCAGGTTTGAAGCTCAAGGCATGCTTTGGATGAGTCTAGAAAGTTGGCAACTACAGCAACCTGTGCTCCGGAACTCTGACAGCTGAACACAGTTGGTTCTCAATCGGAGGTGGAGGTAGGTTGTGGCATCCAGGAGTTGGCTTAGGGGTCTTCATTGGGCATTAAAGGCGATGGCAAGTAACTTGCGACGGCAAGTTCTACTTAGGTGCAGGGGCCCAGCCGAGCTAGATGTGCTCCGCAAGGAAAGAAAATATGTGTAGCAGAATCACTGCATACATGCCTGCAGCTAGACACTAAACGATCGAAAATCACACATCACGATCCCAAAATCAAGAGCCCAACTAAACCCCCAGTTTGCAGCGCCCCAGACCCAGATATCTGCCACCCTTAAATACCGTAGATCCAAACCGGTGGAATCAATCTGCCCAAAGTAATAATAATGAACATCGAATGGTCAGACATCTACCAGACACAAAGGTGAAGGATTAGTGTTTGACTTTTGCTAGGTAGCAACGGAACTCTCCCACTGACAGACTTGTCTGCTGCACTTGGCAGTGAGCGGCGCAGGACAGGCAATTCAGCAAGAAGAACAGCTCTTGGCTGCTTGAAGTGCTGCACAGCTTTATGGCGCTGGTGTCAAAGCTGGTTTCTGAAGTAGCCGAACCGAAAAAGATGCGACCAAACCCGTAAACGCTGAGACCCTCAAAATCCCCACGGAATCCAACGACCTTGTAGCCCTCCTTGCCGTCTTACAAACAACGATTTAAAAGATCGGCCCCCGGCGGATTTTCGGGTTCGAAGATGGTGCAGACCAAAGTAAGGCCCCGCCTTAGGCCAGAGCTCCGGCTGGGATGTACGGGCCGTAGGGCTTTCGGGCTTACGGGCTCAGAAGGGAGCTAGAAGGGGCTTCTCGGAGTGTAACCCGCTAGGCTTCCATACTTGTTCTCAAGTTTCTCAGCTTCTCTACTAAGGTTTTAGCTTTGATAGGGTTCCTAAGAACGACCTCTAAAGCCCGAATCAGTGATTGTCAGGGCGCTGGTTCAATCAATATGGCCTATAGTGAGGTTTAGGAACCGTGTGTGAAGTTTGGGGTTAAGGACCGATTGGGTCGGACGTAGGTTTCGGTGGAGGGTTTGCTCCCGGGATGTCCAGTGCCCGTCTTTCGGCGGCTTTAATCATGACTCCGAAGATCAAGTTCGCTGGAACTAGCAGGGAGGCTTGCGTGGTTGAAAGGTCATGTGACTCGTTCTTAGGCTTAGGTTGGTGTGCTCCCAGGGCAGTTGCATACAGTTATGTGTAGTTTTCTCATGCCTACATGACACCACGTAATACAGGGGCCTTGATAACGATTAGAATCGAGTTTTGGGGTATGTTCTATTCTTTCGATAAAAGGAAGTCACAAAACAGTATAACAGCTAATCTTTAACGCCTTCATATCAGGCATAATCAGCCAACCGAGGGCCGGCCACCTTATCCCTCACTCCCGAACCTGAAACTCGCAAAACTCAAACTTGACAAACCCAACGGGTCCTAGATACTGTTATGGGGGAAACTTCCGCAAATCATAATCGCAAGAAACTCTACATTCTACTATACAGGTACTTTGGACCCTTTGGGAAATGCTCGACAGCTGCCACTCATTTGCAAAGCATGCTGGGAGCAAGTGAGTTGCTGGAACGTCTCTGGTTGTTGAGTCCCGTGGAACCCCGCATGACTCACATGTATTTTGTTTGGTTTCCAAACCTTAAACCTTATAACCTCGAACGCTTAACCTCTACCCCCAGTCCAGCTCACCTCAGCTCCGCATGAGACGCAGTGCAACAAGCTCTGTCTAAACCCCTAAAACATCAACCCTAACCCCTACAACATCAGCCATAAGCCTACTCAAGACATCTAGACAGGATGCTCGCAGCCTTAGCACGCATGCAAGGGAACTCCCCTGCAGTGGTGGCTTGTGTGTGTGTGTGTATGTGCATAACGAAACACAAACAATATATTATTGTTATTATCGATATAGATAAATAAACGCATATGTGGTTGGCCAAATGCTTCCCTCATGGGATCATTACATACGGCATGTAGCTAATTACCCGCTTCTGAAGCGAGTCATGGCCGTTAACACGCTAGTTCCAGTTTCTTTTCAGACCCTAGTCATCTCCTGCAGCGATTTTCAGGATCCGCTGCGGCAGCGCTCGCGAAGAAATCGAAGCCGGGCGCCCGAGTTTCGGGAACTCCACTTATAAGCACATAGTGGGATAGGAAGGAAGGAGGAAAGCATACTCTTATAGACTGTTGACGACGAGGCTCATCCTTGCAACTGTAGAAAAATTGACGGGATGGTCCGACCTATCAAATGCAAGCGGCGGCTGAAGTAAACCTGATAAATCTTAGTCGCCAGCATCAAAATCTAGCCTGACAGCCCAAGCCCTGAATAAACGAAGCCTTTCATATCCGAGTCTAGTGTTCAGGAAGGTCGCATCACCGTTGTGGGCCGCCATGAATGCCTAGACCCTCGATGTACACTCGATGGGACCGTAAGTACGTACCCTGTACCCCTATCAAAGGCTTTTGGAGGGAATATTTTCAACTTGTGGGCTTTGCCGTCCCTAAACTCGAGACCCTGACCCCTCTCTACGAGAGCTCACTCAAGTTTCAGCGACGTTGAGTGCATCATCAGCGACTCCTTCGATACCTCAATGGTTTGAGAGTTTGATACGGTGACGGGCCTGATTTTAAATTTCGGGTCCTCAACATAAACTCCCATAACCTATAACATCACTCAGGGTGTGGAGGTTACAGTCTCGAGACGAAATCCACGGGCTTACTGAGCAATGATCCCTCGGATCCGAAATTCGAAGGCATCGTGTTGAAGCTGGAGTCGGAACTTTAGAAACACAGAGTCGTTGTGTAGGCGGTTCCTGCAACCATAGGCCACAGGATGTGGACAGCTGGGTTCATGCTATCTGCTGAAACAAGGTATACTGGGGAGTCAGAAGCTGTCTCAGCTCGGGTGCGCGGTTCGCCCTTGACCCTGAGCCTCGTGCAGCCCGAGGCATCGCTAACTACGTTCTGTCAGCTGGCTCTGGGCCGAAGGTTTTATAAGGTTTAGGGTTTTAGGGTTTTGGGGTTTGGGGTTTTGGGGTTTTATAGGGTTTTAGGGTTTTGGGATTTTATGGCTTTGGGTTGACTTGGGGCCTGGAACGTCTCTGACAGTATCCCAGGAACCGAACCGAAACAAGCACGGCCATACTGTGGCCATGCGTAGGGTGCCATGAGCCCGGCAGGCCGTACCCACTCTCGTCCTGGAGGCAGACTACAAGCCGAAAAGCAGTGAATCCCGCAAACTCCCAAAAACCCTCAACCACAAACCCGTACAACTCAATCACCAAAGCCGAGGCACCCATGTCTGCCAACATGCTTGGCGCAAGGGCTGGAGGTTTTCCTTCCTTGAGGGCGCCGATGGCTTCGGCGAAGCGAGTGGCCTCCTGCAGCGGGTTTAGATAGGTTTAGCGTTTACCACAAGTACTTGTGTTGTAGATTATCTCGGGTTTCGGGGGTTTGGGGCGTCGGGATGTTCGGGATACGTGCTGCGAGTGGAGGACGAATCCTCAACGAAGGGGTGTTTGGTTCTTGGGGCAATTGCTGGAATCAGAACCTGCAGATTTTAAAATAGCCATGATGCGCTTAATCCTCGTGACAACGTCGATGGCGAAGTTGATGAATATGATGATGGATGCTAAGCCATGCTAGGGTTACGTGGAGTCTTGGGTCTCGAGGAGACAGCGTTAATGTCCCCTGTAGTCCCTCTATGGGCATATTGGAGTATCTCTCAAAGCCTTATTCTAGCGCGGATTCTCTTGCACTATAGCCTCCGGTTTCAAGGATACAGACAAATCTCATAGTCGAGCTTTCATAGAGAGGCTTATTTTGCTCACGAAAGGGCTCGATTGCATGTTCAATCATGAATTCTTCCAGGTGGTCTTTATACTATGGACCTGGCAGAACTCATGCTGCAAAAACTGAGGTCAAACCCGGCCCAGTATTCTCAAAACACGCTCGCAAGAGGTCGCAAGAACTAACGCCGCATCAGCAAGGAATAGGCCCGTGAGTCGTAACGACAAGAACTCGTCTGCGGTGTAAAGAACGTACTTGTTGGCTGTGGCTATGGAAAGTACGGGAAAGGCAAACCTCCCGGGACTGTATTCTTATTACCAATGCCTAGCGAAGGAAGTTTCAGGCATGTCAAAACCGCGGCGTCAAGGCATATTGAACATATATTCCTTAAACTATTTGAATACACCCCGTGCAGAATCCTGAATCCACTGTGAGGCACTCTCGTAATCGCTGGGTTCGAGGTGCCTGCACCGCTTTGAGCTTATCTTGCAGCAACGGGTTCAGCGCGTAGTGCCTGGATCTGGGGTCGGCGCAACACTGCGAAGGCATGTTTGGGTGAAGTTTCAGGCGCTTCATGGGAACACGATCTAAGTCTGAAAGTGCCGAGCATGGGTCGCAAAAGAGGAACTTTCACGGCCTCGCAAGGTGCAGGGTTGTAGTCGCAGTCGTCTTCCTGGTAATTATTAATTAGTGGTGGTGCAGGTCGTCGTCGCCTTCGCCAAAGTTTGCGGTCGTCGTCGGTGCAACGATGTCCAGGACGAAGAAGCAGAAGAGCACGCTTTGAGCCACGCGGACAGCCCTAGTCGCTGATGCCCTCGGTTTATGCTTTGGAGGCTTGACGGGGTGGCAAGATGGGCCTTCATCGCAACATACTACTACCGTTGAACCAGGTAAGCAACCGTCTTTAATCGAAATCCTGGAAGAGTTGCATCTACACGGCACAACCTCTGTAACAGTGCTGTGCAGTGTAACATAACCGCAAATCAATGAGTGTGGGCTACTAAGCCACCTGGGCACTGTATGACCCGAATTGAATTGAGAGAAGTCACAGACGAGGAAGACTTCATGCGACCGAGAGCAGGGAGACGCACAGGCACACCGGGGTGTGCACACACGCATGACCCCGCCAACACCCCAACCCCAGTTCTATCGGCCCGTTGTGCCTCAGCCATGAGAAGTATGCCTTCGCCAGGAGCTTGTCATTGAGCTCCTCCAGAACACCAGGGTCGTCCTGGCGTGCTTCACGTGCTTAACAGTTGCAGAGATGCTACTGCTGCTGACGCTGTATGGAGGCTACTATCATCTACTACTACTACTACTACTACTACTACTACTACTACTACTACTACTACTACTACTACTACTACTACTACTACTACTAACGCCGATACCACCGGCTACTGCTAGTACTACTACTACTACTACGACGACGACGACTACTACTACTGCTACTACTACTACTACTGTTCCTGCTCCTGCTCCTGCTCCGACTCCCACTCCCACTCCCACTCCCACTCCGACTCCGACTCCTACTCCTTCTCCTACTCCTACTCCTACTCCTACTACTACTACTACAACAACTACTACTGCTACTACTTCTACTTCTACTTCTACTTCTACTTCTACTTCTACTTCTACTTCTACTTCTACTTCTACTTCTACTTCTACTTCTACTACTACCACTACTACTACTACTACTACTACTACCACTACTACTACTACTACTACTACTACTACTACTACTACTACTACTACTGCTACTACTACTACTACTAACTACTGCTACTACTACTACTACTACTACTACGACGAATGCGACTACGACGACGACTACTACTACTGTTCCTGCTCCTGCTGCTGCTACTGCTCCTGCTCCTGCTCCTCTCCTGCTGCTGCCACTGCTCCTGCTGCTACGCTACTGCAACTGATAGTACTATACGACTACGCCGAAGACTACGACGCGTACTAATGGTGTGACATGGTGTGACTATACGACACTTATCACTACTGGCATTGCAGCGTGCTGCAACTGCAGCACCTCGATATAAACTGCAACCTGAAACCCCGACACCCCAACACCCGAAGTCTCGAACACTGCAGCCGCAAAATTCCAACAAACACTTTTGTAACACGGGGCTTTTCGACTCGCCTCTGGGACCTCTGCAGGGGAGGCAACCAATGCGTCAGTGGCCAAAGCGCCTCAGGATGCATGGAAAAGCCTAGGATCCAGAGTAACGAGGCTTTGGATTGCCGGGTGTGTTGGAGTGATTTCACATTCGGAGTGAAGTGTAAATTTGCGAGTGTAGGACCACGCGCGAATGTAGGACTATGCAGTGTCTAGGTAATTCACGCCTCTCGCCTCTACACAATTCCGAAACAACCTTTCGGGCTTGATGCACCCGCGGTGCATACTGTATTTCCTGAAATACACCGATCGGGAGCGAGGTCACTCAAGGAACAACAAAGTCCATGCGCCCATAACAAAAGACTTCACGGTCTGTACGAACGGTCGATCATCTGTGTGAAAGCCCTGCACAACATAACACAGCTGTTAACACATGATAGACTGATAGACAATCAAAATGCTTCAGAATGTGGTATTAACAAACGATGGTATACTGAATACCTTGAACACTCAGCCCCCACATGTATATATATATATATATATATAATGTTCTGCATGCCCAGGTGCCTAAGGCCTTCTCTTCAAAAGCCGAAAGCAACAGCAAAGCTGTGGTGGCGGAGTCCTAGGCCGTGACGGTTACGTGCTCTAGATTCGAAATGTGCAAACGGTTTAGGGTTTAGGCTTTAGGGCTAGGGGGGAGACAACAGAAAAAATCCACAACCCTGGCCACCAGCTGCCAAGCTCTGGTAATCATCCTTGAAAATGGATTGGTCGGGTCATGCAAACTTACCGAGGGACACTTGTAACAACCTGCCGATATATTCTCCATTAACTTACACGTCGGGCACCGGGATCGTCAGCATACATCGAAACAAGTTTTTGTTTGGACAGGGGGAAGAAACGCACCTGAAAGAACATGAGTACGATATGTTGTGCACATTCAATGAAGCTGCCATGCATCTTGCTTCCGAGTTGCGGCGCGTGAAATGTAGTCCACAATCTGACCATAGTCTTTGGCGGAGGCAGGCAACCCAATCATGATGATCGCTGAAACTCCTCCAGTGCACAGCTTTAGCATTGCGTGTAAACTCGTAGGTTGGACGTCTGAAAACTGTTCTTCACAAGACTTCCCCGCAATATTTTCGATCAGTCCAACATAACATAACTTGCAGGCTCACAGCTCGCAAGCCATGTCGTGATTACAAACTAGTATGCGAAGATAGACTGTCTCGGACGCATATACCTGTGATTCTGTATAACTACATACAGATACATGAAGCAACACAGACACACTTGCGATTGTTCATAGGACTTACGATCAGTTGATGTTTCTATGTACGAGCATACAGTACAAGTGGGCATGCATGTTTAAACAGACGCGGACCCCAAACAGATAAGTGTTCACGTAGCTGACAAAGGTCATGGGATGACAGCAGATCACGTCCCAGGTATCACTACACCAAGTGTTTACGTCTCAACACATTGGTGCGGCGAAGCAACTTGACAGCCGTCGCCGTAGTACTAGAAACTTGCAGCAGCGCTAGCAGTAGGCATCGTCGACGGCAACGTCGTAGTCGAAGTAGCGTGGCTGCTCTTGTTGCTTGCTTTTGACTGTTGTTGCTGTACCAAAGCAGTGGAAAGAGTAGCAATTGCAGCAGCAGGGGGAGCAATAGCAGCAGGGGGAGCAGTAGTAGTATTAGCATTAGTAGTGGTAGTAGTAGTAGTAGTAGTAGTAGTAGTAGTAGTAGTAGCAGTAGCAGTAGTAGTAGTAGTAGCAGTAGCAGTAGCAGTAGCAGTAGCAGTAGCAGTAGCAGTTGTTGTTGTTGTTGTAGCCGACAAGCGGAGTAATAGATACCCCTCGAGGTCGGTTTGAATCCCGACCGTAACCGTCAAAACCTGAAGCGAAAACCTTAGCCGTAGCCTAAACCGTAACTTTTCAGATGACCAAGATGTCCTTCTGACGGAAGAGTAGCAGCAGAGAGCCCTGACAAGCTTGGCAGGTGTTCTGATGCAGGCTAAGGGTTCATATGGGCACTTTTGGAAATCCCTCAACCACAAAACGCTGACAGCTGAATTCGAGAGTCTTTGACAAGGACCTATAGAGAAGTGAAGTTCACCCTGAGCCCTAGAACCTTTGTCCCTGCGCAAAGGTTTAGTGTTCCGGGATTAGGGTTTAGGACTTGCAAGATATACAAACACCAAAGATCGCCACCTTGTGCGGCCGGCATAGGTATGTACATTTACATACATTGCAATATATTTGTACATACACAAGTCGGATCATGAATAGTTTACATATGTATATACACATGACATGACACAAACAATATGTGTATATGTATATATATATATATATATATATATAGACATATATATACACACACCTACATTGTTTCTTTTGATGACGGTGAGGGTGCGAGTTTGAGAGCCCAGAGACTATCATGCCTCGAACCATACTTCGAAGACCCGTATAGTTAAAGAATATACGTTCCAGATAGATATGACAATGATACCCCTTCGTTCTAGCTAAGACAAATGCTTTACATTGTAAACAGGGTGCAGATATCCGCAAGAGTACTACTTTAAATGTTAAACCATGTTTGGGGTGATACCTCTTATAAATCAAGGGATACTGCTCGATAAACCATAATATGGGTAACCTTCCAGCAAGGAACATACCAGTACGTTAAATCATGAGGGATGCCCCTTAATCAGGGGGTATACATTAAGTCGAAAAAGGGATACGAAAAGGGATACCCTCTAATTAGGGACTGTGCCTGAAACCATGATCCGGGAGGTTCGAGTGTAAGCTCAAATCCTCTCAGTTCCTGAAGAAATTGCTTCTTCAAAGCCTGAAGATGAGGTTCTTGGAATGCGTGTGCTTTTTGGTTCCTTTTGCCGAACCTCCAGGATGAGTGTCGTAACTTACTGGCGATGTTGGAGTAAAGCCCTAAAGTTTTGATCCCGGCAGCGTAAAATGTAAGCGGCCTGCTGTGAAGAGGACCCCGTTTGCAGCGGCGGCGAAACTTTGCACCACCTTCTTCCTCACCTGTCATCCCGAAGAACATGCTAAGCCTCATCAACCCTCGAAATGGGGTTCGTGTCAAGGGTTTGATTACGCGCTAAGCTTTAAAGCTTTTGACACGCATGGCCTAAAGTTTGGACTATGTCGGTAAAGAATGGTGAGGGTTCGGAGGATTGAGGCGGCGGAGTGTTGGGTTTCAACGAGTTGGTATGCAAACCCCTACACGAGTCCTCATATTGCCCGAGTTAAAACCATGTTCAAGCAGAGCTGACATATGTAGGTTGACCATGACCAAACCCTTTCTTAAGTCCACACCTTTGGGGTCATCTCAGGGTTTAGGGGCTTGGGTTAAGCGTTTGGGGTTAAGGTTCATCATTCGTGATACCTTCTCGGCATGCTCCCTTGTTTGCCCCTCAAGACAGGATTGGAGAGCTTCAGAGGAGGCTTCATGGTCCATGGGAAATAGAAGCCCAGCTTAAGGCCAGGGCGTGCCCACACCGACAGCAGAAGAACTGAATCACTACAAACGTGTCAAAGTCTCGGGATCCCACATGGAGGCCAGCTTATCACAAGGATCCCACTTTTCAAGGCCTACGTCTGGGAGCTCAGGTTCTGAAATGCACAAGTCCAACCTCTAAACCCCAAATCCCGATCTCTGAAGTTGCAATGCCCCAGGGCTTACATTTGTCCCGAGCCCTGCACCTGCACCTGTAAACTATAATGTACATTCGCGTGCCCGAGGGCGTACGGCCTTCTTGCTGTTTGCAGAGTGGGCCTCGTAGACCTCGACTGCGTACATGGATCCGAAAACAAGAACAAGCTGCAAGCTCCGGATATTTTTTTAAGACCAGACAGGAGCCTTGAATTCAGTGAACCAGCGTAGGCACCTAACAATACTAAAATAGGGTCTGGGCATATGTCATGCAGCAACACTCTTGTACATTACGGAGTACAAAGACATACTATTCCTCGATACTAAACCCCCTTTCTGACCCATCCAGGGTTTGGGTTTGAGGGCCGTGAGGTCGAAGGTTCGTGGTTTGGGCTCAAGATGTTTGGGCTCGAGGTTCGGCTGGGAGGTCTGAAGTTTTGGATTTAGGGTTTAGCAGTGCTTTTGCTGATGGAGGGGGGTCGTAAAATCAAAGTTCTGGTTTCGCATTTCGGGTTTACAGCCTATGGAGCACAACTCCTAAACCACCGCATTCCTAAACCTGTTGCTTGTCACTGCGAACCCAATAGTGGTGGAATCTCAGACCCCAGAGGGCCAAAGGCTTCAGGGTTGAACGCTCTGGAATAAATGTTTGTAGAAGGTCTTCGGGTTTCGCAGTGTTTAGGGGTACGTCTGCCAAACCTCCATGCAAACTCGCAAACGAAAAAAAATCTTACTGCCAACTGACCTGAAAGCCCCTGATCCCTATAAACCCTACAAGCCCAAAACCCCCAAACTCTAAACCCTAAAGGCCCTAAACCCCCATAAACCCAAAACTCCAAACTCTAAAACACCGATAAACCCAAAGCCCTAATAAACCCCAAAGCCTGAACCCTGAACCCCCGATACAGCCCAAGCTCTAAACCCTAAAATTGTCAATACACCCCAATGCTCTAAACCCTAAACCCCCAACAAACCCCAAACCCTGAAACTGGGGAGCCTCGTAGGACGAGCTGTCCTTTCGCGCCATCTCGGCGTAGAGCTTCGCGATATCGCCTGGAAAGGGTGCCATTGGGTGTATAGGGCTTAATTAGGGGTTTAGGGTTTAGGGACTTAGGGTTTAGGGTATTGAAGCCACTTCGATGGTTTACGTTGGAGGGTTGTATACACCTTTCTGTGTGTTTCCTTACATGTGAGGATGTAACTATAGTCTTGTATAGGGCACCATGTACCTTTCAACCTGGTGCATCAATCAATACGGCTACATGGTTGTATTTGTGAGATGAACACGGTGCAGAGTTGCGGCCGCGATTGAGCACACAGCACATGTGTGTGTGTGCATATATTATACTGTATATATACATATGTATCTATCTATATATATATAGATATATAATATGTATATGTATATGTATTGTATGTTATAGATATGTAAGATATTCTCTATATATGTATATATATATATATATGTATACATATATATATATATAATGCGAACTCCCCTTGTAAGACCTAAGCATGCATAAGGGTGCATGGACTCTAGGGGAGCGTTCAGGCCAGATTTTGGAATCCCCGAAACAGACGTCACCCTATATTAAGGATTTTAAAAGGAGCCTAACTTGCCGGACTGCCCTGCAGTTCATGTCTGCAATAATTGCCCTTGCGTGGCCCCCTGCAGGTGCTAGCCTCTGCTTTTGGTTTCATATTCTCACAATACGGCTTTTGGCTTGCCGGTCCAGATACTGTAATTCGCTTCGAACTCACTTCACCTTGCAAGGCCCTACAACTCTGCCGAAGCCCCAACCCCAGAAAAGCTGAACCAGCAACATATAAATCCCAGAATCCTGAAACTTTAGGGGATTTAGGGTGTAGGGCTTAGAGTTTAGGGTATCCCAAGACCCCAAAGCTCCGAAGCGCCAAAACGTGAAACCCCCAAACCACCCAATACCTGGAAGCCTTAAGACCTGAGAGCTTGTAAACCCCCATATGGCAAAGCGGCCGTTGATGAAGATGGCAACCACCTCCCATCTTCGAGGCATGTCTCTTAGTCCAGGAACTCCTCATACTATAGGGTTAAGTTTAGGGTTTAGTAGGGGGCATCTCATGAGAGATGACCGTCGCCTCGCTCAACGCTACTGTGTCGGTCAAGATCAACGAAACTTGGCAAGGATAACAATTTCCAAAAGGGTCCAAGCACTTAATAATCATATACGCTCCCGAATAGTATCCTACATGACTTCTATCCGAAACCTACTGCCTAAACCCCCCGATACCGGGTCCTTTGGAACCTGAGGATTTCTGGGTTCGACCGATATGCCGACTTGCATAGCTGTCTGGCCACCCAAAGAGCTTCCGCATGTAAATACCATGCTTGAGTCATAAGTCAGCTAAAGCTCTGTGCCACATCCATCAACTCTCTCTCGCTCTATATTATACATATATATATATATACATATATATAAATATATGATGTGTGTAGTATTAACTGCTACCGATATGTCTATTATATTGTGTATGTATATATATATATATACATATGGTCGGGATTTAACTGGATACAGCTGCCTGCCTGCAATCTAGGGTCCAATAAGAAACCCAGCAACATGCTGTTATGTTACACCTCGACAGTCCCATGCAAAGATGCCTCATTGTGTTCAAACTGCACCGTCAAATTGAAACCCCAACCTGCCCATTCTCTGCTGCACCGAGAGCACAGAAAACTTGTTTAGGGCTTATAGGCTCCAAGCTCTAAAACCTTGAACTTCATATGGGTCCAGGCCTTCCCATGCTGCGCGGCTTGTGCAGCAAGCAGCTTCGGAAGCGAGCGGCCAAGGGCAATCGCATCGAAGATCCTCTGGTTTGGCGATTGGGGTTTTGCATGGGTTTAAGGCTAGTTAGTTTTCCAGAGTATCGCGAAATCACGGAAAACCAAACCTCAACAGCCTTCTCAGGCATCAAGAATTTCGCCGCTGCCCCTTCCCCCCAAAAGAACAAGGGCCACCCACCCACCCACCCACCCACCCACACACACACACACACACACACACACACACACACTTGACACATCGTGTCGCAGGTCTGATCTGTCGGTGCATATTGTCAGAAGCTGTCAGGGAAAGTCAGAAGCTGTCAGGGAAAGTCAGAACATGCAATCAGAAGTACTACCATAGGGTAAACGCGACTCACTCATGTAACTGCTCATGGGATTGCACATGAAACTGCACTGCACTCCTACCCGCAATCAACAGTTGTGTAGTCACAAGCTGCACAAATGTGCCCATGCCGACCACTGCAGGTACGTTTACCTGTCTCAATATCACGGAGCTTCATTTGCAGAGGCCGTGAAATGAGACCCTCTGCCCCCTGCTGCTTAACTCACTCACGTCTCTTGGAAACAGAGTTGGACACACACAAGCCCCGAGGGGCTCCGTGCAATGTTGATGGTCGTTGCGCGCTGTTTTTCTCACCGATTTATCATCGAAACGTGGCCAATGACACGATACTCACTCGCAAACGCTCCTGTGCTAGGTCTACCACAGCACGCATCCACCTCTTGGAAGGGCTGCCCAACATGGTGCAGGCCACGGCATTGATTTGAACAAAACGGATGGTGGTATGCAAAGACTGAAAACCCATGGTCAACTCAACCGAGGAGGACAGTCGAAATTCTTGGATCCCACGTTGCAAGAACGTGTAGGCCACCAAGGTGTCGGTTAAGGGTTGCGCCTCTTCTGGGTCGTCATTTCGATCAAGGCGAGTAATGAATGTGATTCTGGCTCTGATCGGCAACAAGTACGTCAAGATGTTCTCAAGCACGTCAGAAGCGGCCCAATCCATGTTGTTCGGAATCTACAAAACTTCCAGACTGCTTGAAACAAAACTCTATTCCATGTCTGATGAAAGCAACTCCCAAAGGCGCAGCACTTGCACATCCCTGACATGTCTCTCCGCACATTTCCTGCACAGCACTTGCACATACCTCGACCGTCCCTTGCACATCACTTGCAATCCGCTTACTCTTCCCTTGCTAATCACTTCGGTTGACACAAAGCATTGGTGGACTCTTTTCAAACCGTCAACGCTCTCTCACTTTCGGTCTAAGACGTACTACACAAGTTTCAAAGTAGAGGAAAAACGCTTCCTAGGGCCATGCTTTTCTTTAGCAATGCGCTCCCCGTGTTGTCTCAGGAAATCGAGAATGAACTGGGCTCTGTTGTGGATGAAGAAGTCGTCACCAAGCACTCTCGTGCCTTCTATTCTGCGACGAAATTGGGCTCTAGGTGCAGGACGAATCTTGATACGCGCACCATCAGAACCTTCATCAATCATACGAAGCTTGCGTTTCCGCGGCGGGACAATCTTCGACATGTTGGTGTGTTCTGCAGCGGAACGGTTCGACTTTGGAAACTGAACTAATCGACCAGGGGACATTGACGGAGACTGTCGGCCAAGGAACGATGACACATTTGAGCTCTCATGATCAAAGGCGAAATCAGCGGAATCCGGATCACTGATCGCGGTAACACCTGATACCAAAGCTGCACGTCGATCATGTTCTTGGTCCGACACTGCAAAGTCAGACGAGAAGTCGGACGAGTGCACGTCCGATACAGAGACAGCATCGCTCTCAAAGCTGGACACCGACATAATTTGAAGCTACCTGTACGTTACAAGTCTTTTTAGACCTGGAGAGTGCCTTGAGGACATGAATCAAAACAGTGTCTGCAAATATTCACAACACATGCTGCCAGCAGATCACTTGCATAACCCTTGCACATCCCTTGCACATCACTTGCGCGTTCCTTGCACATCCCTTGCAATATACTTGCAGCAGCACTGGCAAACAGACTCTTCTTTGCAACTGCAGAAAGTCTACGAAACTGCAGAGTCTATGCGTTCCAACATAGGCGAACCACACTCATGTCAGAGAGTCTACGCATTCCAACATAAGCAAACCGCGCTCATGTCGCAAATCTGCAGAGTCTACGCATTCCAACATCAGCGAACCGCACTCATGTCACGAAACTGCAGAATCTACGCATTCCAACATCGGCGAACCGCACTCATGTCACGGAACTGCACAGTCTACGCATTCCAACATAGGCGAACCACACTCATGTCAGAGAGTCTACGCCCTACGCATTCCAACATAGGCAAACCACACTCATGTCACCAGTCTGCAGAGACTGAGCGTTCCAACATCGGCGAACCGCACTCATGTCACGAAACTGCAGAGTCTACGCATTCCAACATCGGCAAACCGCACTCATATGTCACGAAACTGCAGAGTCTACGCATTCCAACATAGGCGAACCGCACTGATGACACAAAACTGAAGTCTACGCATTCCAACATTGGCGAGCCGCACTCATGTCACGAAACTGCAGAGTCTGAGACGCTTGTAGCGCCAATATACAGCATCGTGCTGGGCTTTCTTATTGTTCAAAACCGAGGATGCAAAGCAATTGGGCATCCACCATCACTCTACAGAAAGTCCATGCACAGGAGACTGCAATCAATGACCTCGTCTGCCATTACAAAACGAGTATGCGCTCACACTTGCTGCACGGCAAACCTGCACCGCTGGACTCTCCGTTATGTCATTCAATCGGATAGGGCTGCATGGCAGGAATACTCTCAGCAATCATTTCCAGCAGCGTCTCAAAGCAGAAAGTCTACGAAACTGCAGAGTCTATGCGTTCCAACACAGGCGAACCACACTCATGTCAGAGAGTCTACGCATTCCAACATAAGCAAACCGCACTCATGTCGCAAATCTGCAGAGTCTACGCATTCCAACATCGGCGAACCGCACTCATGTCACGAAACTGCAGAATCTATGCATTCCAACATCGGCGAACCGCACTCATGTCACGAAACTGCAGAGTCTACTCATTCCAACATAGGCGAACCACACTCATGTCAGAGAGTCTACGCCCTACGCATTCCAACATAGGCAAACCACACTCATGTCACCAGTCTGCAGAGACTACGCATTCCAACATCGGCGAACCGCACTCATGTCACGAAACTGCAAAGTCTACGCATTCCAACATCGGCAAACCGCACTCATGTGTCACGAAACTGCAGAGTCTACGCATTCCAACATAGGCGAACCGCACTGATGACACGAAACCGAAGTCTACGCATTCCAACATTGGCGAGCCGCACTCATGTCACGAAACTGCAGAGTCTGAGACGCTTGTAGAGCCAATATACAGCATCGTGCTGGGCTTTCTTATTGTTCAAAACCGAGGATGCAAAGCAATTGAGCATCCACCATCACTCTACAGAAAGTCCATGCACAGGAGACTGCAATCAATGACCTCGTCTGCCATTACAAAACGAGTATGCGCTCACACTTGCTGCACGGCAAACCTGCACTGCTGGACTCTCCGTTATGTCATTCAATCGGATAGGGCTGCATGGCAGGAATACTCTCAGCAATCATTTCCAGCAGCGTCTCAAAGCAGAAAGTCTACGAAACTGCAGAGTTTATGCGTTCCAACATAGGCGAACCACACTCATGTCAGAGAGTCTACGCATTCCAACATAAGCAAACCGCACTCATGTCGCAAATCTGCAGAGTCTACGCATTCCAACATCGGCGAACCGCACTCATGTCACGAAACTGCAGAATCTACGCATTCCAACATCGGCGAACTGCACTCATGTCACGAAACTGCAAAGTCTACGCATTCCAACATCGGCGAACCGCACTCATGTGTCACGAAACTGCAGAGTCTACGCATTCCAACATATGCAAACCGCACTCATGTCGCGAAACTGCAGTCTACGAGTCGCACAAGCAAGCAAAAACATGTACTGAACCACTCCAGCTTGGTCCGACACTGCAAAGTCTGACGAAAAGTCGGACGAGTGCACGTCCGATACAGAGGCAGCATCGCTCTCAAAACTGGACACCGACATAATTTGAAGCTACCTGTACGTTACAAGTCTTTTTAGAACTGCAGAGTGCCTTGAGGACATGAATCAAAACAGTGTCTGCAAATATTCACAACACATGCTACCGGCAGATCACTTGCATAACCCTTGCACATCCCTTGCGCATCATTTGCACGTCCCTTGCACATCCCTTGCAATACACTTGCATTGAAGTACATGCAACACTGAGTTGCAGTTTGGTACGCGGGCGCAGAGCAGTAAACATGGGATACAATGTGACCCAATTGAAGTTGGCTGAGTACACTTGAATCAGCTTCCCTTCTTCATCACGCACTTCCAACCCACGAAGTTCAGGAATCACGAAGAAGTTTGAATCTTGTTCCCACTCTACTTCCACATGACCTCTGAGAAGAGCTCGATTCCCAAGATGCTCGTAAGATTCTTGCAGGGGTTTAACACGAAAGACGTATTTCTGGTCCGCACTGCAAAATCGGCAACTGAACGAAACGACAGACGGAAACCTGTACCATCTGCGTGTAGAGTGATGGCTGGTGGAACATCTTGTTGTGGAACAGGTCGATCACTTACAGCATGTGTGGATGCAGAGGCAGGAGCTACATCTGCTGGTCCCAATCCAACATTGCAAACAAAAGTACAGCTCATGTACTCAACTTGCAGCCGAAGACCTGCGACAAGTCAGCGGTAAAGTCAGGTTCGGGAAAGTCAACCAGATCATAGAAAGTCAATGGGAAAGTCAGCGTTCAGGTTTCGGAGAAGGCATTTGGGAAAGACTCACTGAGAAAGTCAGCTTGCAAGCATGGATATAAAGTCAAGGAAAGTCATCCAATGCTTATGCAGTCAATCGGGAAAGTCAGCGCCAGAGCTACCTCTGGGAGACACGGCGCCCATAGGGAATGCCGTTGTGAAGCACACTTGACACATCGTGTCGCAGGTCTGATCTGTCGGTGCATATTGTCAGACGCTGTCAGGGAAAGTCAGAAGCTGTCAGGGAAAGTCAGAACATGCAATCAGAAGTACTACCATAGGGTAAACGCGACTCACTCATGTAACTGCTCATGGGATTGCACATGAAACTGCACTGCACTCCTACCCGCAATCAACAGTTGTGTAGTCACAAGCTGCACAAATGTGCCCATGCCGACCACTGCAGGTACGTTTACCTGTCTCAATATCACGGAGCTTCATTGGCAGAGGCCGTGAAATGAGACCCTCTGCCCCCTGCTGCTTAACTCACTCACGTCTCTTGGAAACAGAGTTGGACACACACACACACACAGGGAGAGACAGTCAGTTCCTACACCTTTAGCGACTATATTGAAACTCAGAACAAGCCACCCGGATAAAACACACGAGAAGCTCGGGCTGCATCGGGATAAGGAACGGGGATGGCAACGATGCATACAACCCAAGTGGTCCAGGTTACCCAAAAAGGGTCCAAGTAATAGTATGGTGTATCCTTTGCCTTAGCCCAAATGTTTACTAAGTAGCTACTATATTTTCTGCATGGACCCTTTGGGTTATCTGTTTCGTAAGATGCTGTAGCGACTTGCGCGAGAGTTGAAGGGCGGAATGTTGAATAATTTGGTAGGGACATGGATACTTGTAATAAGTTTCGGGGTATCTCAGAGCTGAGTATAACACGCTGTAGATGCTGTGACTACTTAATTATTCAATCGTCCATATTCGTTCTTGAGCAAGGCATCGCACCCGCGAAGTCTGGTACACAATTGGAAACCTCGAACAGGCAAACCTCATAGAAAGACATCGCAATCACTGAAGCCCTGCGCCGAGAATCCGCTGAGTCGACACCCCAACACCCTAAAGCCCTACTACACCGGCTGTTACGCCCGTAACCTGTTCGAACCTACACTGCGGTCATGCTTGCTACTGGTTGCTCATACTTTGAACATCAACAAGAGGAAGGCAGCATTCTCCCCGTTGCGGGTGTTGAACGCTTCCGAAAGTTCAAGCTGCGTACTGCACCAATGACTGTCACTCACAATACGTATTGCATTCGAGGGTTCAGCACGGCTATATCTAGCTCTGGGTTGTCAACTAGATGTTGCTGCTCTGAGGCCATCGACTATCTAATCCCAAAGGGTCCAACATACCTATGTAGTAGAATGTAGGGTCTCTATATTAGGAACTACTACTATGATTTAGGGAAGTATCCTCCAGAACAGTACCTAGGACCCTTTGGAATCTAATCCTCGACCCGATCTCCCGAGCACTTTACGAAAAGCGATCCGCAGAATACAGGGGCGGAGCAATTGAAGTAGGTTTTGGGTCTACCCTAAGGCCCCAAAGTAGTTCCTTTTTGGGGTTCATGTTTAGAATCTTGTGAGGTAATCCCAAAAGGAAATACTATGGGGCCTCTGGGTAGTCTATGGGTACACGGACTACGGGAGTCACATTACTGCGTAGTCCGACCCCTAATCATTCTCATGAAGCATACGCGTGCCGACACCCTTACGTACATAGAACACCATGTATCATAGAGCGGGAGGGGGGGTGTAATTACATTCCGCAGTAATTATCCAAGGTTTTTTTTGGAGTGTGATAATCGCTATAGCTATTGGCGGAACCAAACCCACGATCCTTGTCCGGGAGTTTCAGAAAACAAGTGACGCACATGCGTACGCCTCGCGAACAGCCTGCTAAGTTCCTGAAGGCCTGTATACATCCAGAACCTCAGCAGCCAAACATCAGACTAAACACCAAACGATACACTTGCCATAAACCTTGAGCCCCTACAGCCGTACGCACACCGGCAGCCCTAAACACCCCCAGCATCTATTGCATCCCAGCCTTCGCGTCTGCTGTTGTAAAGAATCGCTGAACAGTGCGCTCATCCCCAAGGCCGACAGACCGAAGATCCTACTTGGAGGTACATGGGAAGTTATAAGTGGGGTAATAAGTCCCCTCAATTTGGTTATATCTATAATTATCCTACTTATAACCCTACTTATAACTACCCATGAACCTCCAAGTAGGAGGCGAACACACAGGCTCAGAATAGCCCGAAAGCCTTACATGACATTGTGCTCGGTTGGAGGTGTAGTGGTTCGGCGGCTTCGGATTTCCAGCCCTTAACACCAAACCTTGGACCCTAAAATCCTTCCCTGAGCGGCACCTCTGACAGCCAGGGCACTGATAGGAGATGGAGACGGACGGCGCCGGAGGAGCGCGCACGATGTTAATCGCAGGGTCATCGATTTCCTGAGATTCCGGGTGATCGTTTTTGTAGGGGCAAAATACTTCGGAGGTAGGGGTTCCAGGGTGAGGGCTCAGGAGCTTACGGTTTGGATGCCAGTTTTCGGGTGTACATTAACATTGACTACTGTTTAGGGGTTCGCGGCTCAGAGCAATTACGAGTAGGGATTTGTTAAAAAACCTCTGCAATTAGCGCTGTTGGGGTTTATTGATTTATTGGTCAAGGGGTTGTTGGTATAGGACCTCTTTTCGTGGCGGGAGCGGGCATATTACGTTCGCTGGGCGTGGGATGGAAGGGTGTTGGATTTTGGATGGCTTCGATGGAACCTACTATAGGGACCTTAATATCTACCTATACTTTTTGGGCGGTTCCTTATTATAACTGTAGTACCATGCGCGCTACGTTAAGCCCTACGGACTCGTGTGCATTATAAACATGTCGTGCCGAATGGGTCGGCATCCTGTGGATGAGGTCTCTCGACTGCATCCCAAACATGATTCCGTGACATAAAAGAATTAAAACCAGACGCCCAACCCCAACCCAAAAACATACATCCTGAACCCCTAACATATCCTGCCGTTTTAAGGACTTATATAAGGAATTCATAATAAGGAACCCTAGAGAGGTAGGTTGTTCAGGGTTAAGGTATAGTATATAGTTGCAGCTGAGCAACAGCCACACCGTACCTGAACCAAATCAATCAGGTGTGGGTCGTGAGCTCGCGGCTTTGATTCGTTGTTGTCTCAGGCTCATGGTTGGCTTTATGTGCAGAAGCCGCATACCATACACCCCCCAACAAGAGTGATTCATGCCTTTCCTATGATGAGGCCCCCTTTACGAATTCGAAGAAGCAGACACTGCGAAGAGCGCTGCAGGTTCTGCTTGCACAAAATCTTGTCGGACCGGGAAGTATACGCTGTTGATGGATTTGGGTTGCTGTTCCCCAGATACTCTATTTCTGATGGATTTGGGTTCCTATTCCTGCGCTGCTTGGGTGCGAGGGTTAGGATTCGATACCATACGGCGTAACTTTCAAGGGTTCTTGCGCTTCGGGTTTGGGGTTCAGGGTCGCGGGTTCAGGATTTAGGGTTTAGGGCTTCAAGCTTGGGGGCAGGGAGACTTAGCGAACCTTGGTTTAGGCTCTTGTTAATGAATTTGCTTTTAGCTTCCAGCACGGCATGTCAAAACGGAGCTCGTTAAAGCTTCTCGAATTCCGTGTCTTGAGCTTTCTAGGCAAAAACCAGCAAATACCCCGAACGGTCTCAGCAAGGAGATCTCGACAGCAGAAACCAAGTTTAAACAGAAAGTACAAGAGCCCTTGTGCCTGAGATACTGACATCTATGCATGCACACTATATAACAAGTCAATGCGACCCTGTACTGAACAGAGCTGCCTCAACACATATGTTTATTTGTTTTGTCGCCCCTGCTCATGGTCCTTACTTGAATACCCTCAACCCTTAACCGGCCCAGTATTTGGGTTTAGTGGCGACCTCCACAGTGAACCCTCAAAACCCAGAACTAAACCCTGAACCCCAAGTTGCGAATCTGTGGGAACCGGGCCTCTGCGCGTTCTGCTCCGTCAGCGCTGGGGGGCGGCCCTCCTGAGGACGCTCAAGACTCATAATTTCGAAGATTTAGGGGAGGGTCCACGGCGCAAAATTAGATCGAGGGTTGCTGGATGTTCAAGCTTTGTGTTTTCTGGGGGATTCTGCCAAAGGCAGGCTTTAGGCTCTTTTGTGGGCTTCGGGATTCGGTGGTTGCAGGCTGTTAGAGCTTAAGACCCTTCTCGGGGCCTGGTGTGCGGGATAGGCACTATATCGGAGGCTTTAGAAAAGCTGGGCGCAGGCCTTTAGAGTGGATGTAGGTTGTCTGTGTTGATGCGAAAGTGCTGAAGGGCTGCTGGTTTGTTTCTTCGAGCTCAAGCTACATGCCTTCAACCCACAAGCCCATATCTTACAGAGTAGACTTTCAAACCTGAGAAACAACAATCGACAGCTCAGAGCCTGCAACTTCCTCTGTTGCTTGCCTTGACGGTTCCAAGCTGAATGAAGCGATCCCCCAAACCCTAAACCCCAAACCCGAAACCACGAACTCCAAGCAGCAAAACCTTAAACTTCGATGCAACCAGGATAAACCAGCCATCGATCCGACCCACATAAAACCCTAAAGCCAACACTTCAGCGAGACGTACCCAAACCCCTACTTGGGGATCAATGGACTTAGAAAGCACGTGTGTGTTTGTGTGTGTGTGTGTGCGTGTCTGGTATATCAAGTTGGGGTCATCAGTGCTTGTAGCTGTAGCTACCTTGCTAATAGCTCTTCGGGCCAGGCCCCAGATCCTGTAAGTATGCCCTCTCAGTTGGGTCTTGGCCCCACTGCAGAGGCTCGATCAACGTATGCTCCTTGTATCGCTACGAACCTCGTCCAAGGACTCTTGATTAAACAAAGAGTCAATAGGAGGTGCATATCAGACAGAAAAAGGAATAATAACTTCACCCATTTGTTAAACACCCTAAACCCCAAACCCTAAACACTAAATCCTAACACCCCCTCCAACCATAAACACACTCCTGCCCTTAAGAACCTATCTTGCATTGGGGGGGTCCCGAGCAAGAGCAGGAGCAAGAGCAAAGTAAGAGCCGGAGTAAGAGCAAGAACAACAGAGAGAGCCGGAGTAAGAGCAAAAGCAAGAGAGTAAGAGCAAAAGCAGGAGGAAGAGCAGGAGCAACAGCAAGAGCAGGAGCAAGAGCTAGCTGTGATTGGAGAATCCGGGACCTTGTCGAGAGCACCGATAGAGCTAGCGAAGCGCTGACCTTCGCGGAAGACCTCCGGGAGCCACGAGAATAAATACAATTGCCAAGGGACCATGTGCCCAAGTAGTAGGTACTCTGGCCTTAAAAGTAGTCCCTATCTAGGTACTTTGGACGAAAGTATATACTGTTTGGGTACATGGACACGCAGGGTTATTTGCTATGTACTCAGACCCCTGCGTTCTGTGGTCTTTCTCTCTCGTGATACACTTCAAAGAAGTTTGGTTGAAGATTAGGGGTGTCGGCAAGTTTAAAGGAGCCAACGCCTTCGAAAAGGCAGTCAGACTTGTGAAACACAGGAGGCTTTTTCATGGCCGTTTTCTCGTAGGGATGCTGGAAGTCTGCACTCACCTGGACTGCTGAAGAGCTCTGTAGGAAGCGCTATATAGGACTTTCCGAAAACTAGGGGTGCCTTTTTCTGGGGTCCTTATCACAAGATCCTACTACTCAGGGTACTAGATTAGGGCCCCCCTATCTTCGGAGACTGCCATATAGGCTCTCCGAAGCCCATGGATTGGGAACTACGGTACTACAAGCAAAGCTTGCGACCCCGAACAGACTAGAAGCTACGCCCCAGATCCTATAGAACGCGAGCTATAACCCAAAGGGTCCTGGGCACTATTATGGCAGATACTGCCCCAAAATCATAATAGTAATTCCTAATATAGAAACTCTACAGGTACTTAGGACCCTTTGGGTAAATCTACTCCCTAAACTTTATAAAGCCTAGCCCCAGGCCTCCAGCACGTCAAGGCCCTCGCCGTGCCTGAAGAAGACTCAGAGCTCTTAGCCGGGCAGGGGCCTGAATAACAGAGTATCATTCATCATCATAACAGTCTGAATCAATAAGAATATAGGAGAAATTATAGCAATAACACCAATACGAATTGTAACAGGGCGGCTTTAAGGTACTAGAATACGGCCTAAAGACTTAGAGTAAGCCCTCTAGGGTTTTCCGGTCTCAACCTAGGGCCTAGGGATATTAAGGTCTGGGGGTCAGCGTTTAACAGTTATTGATGCTTTCAGGCAAAGTCCCATTGGGAAGCGGGCCGTTCAATCAAACACGATCACTGCACCCTCAGAGACGCTCACGCCTTTCAGCATGCTTCCCTCTGCGACGCAAGGGGTCCATACCAAAAAGGGCCTCTAAACCCTGAGCCCAATACAAGCATGTGCCTGTGTGCTGGAACTCGGGCTATGCTACTTTCGACTAGCCCTATAAACCATAAACCTATAAACCCTAAACCATAACCACCACCACCCCCCCCCCCCCCCCCCCCCCCCCCCCCCACACACACATCTGGGTTCCTGCCAGTCAGCCCACCCGACGATCGAAACCAAAGCCCTGAATGTAGTGGAATTGAAACACTGGAGTATCTGGAGGGTCGGGAAACTCTACGTCCCTCGACCCTCCTAGTGAGGTTCGTCGGGTACAAGAAGGAATCTTGGCACAGACCTTAATAGCGAATAGACCACGGTCTGGAGTACATCATAGTAATCCCAACTAACCAACCAGCGAAAAAGAACAAAGTGCACGGTGGGATTTGAACTACGCTTGCAGCCTAAAGCCCTAAACATGCCTACTCTGCGAACCCAATATAGAAATGCCCCAAGCGCTCACTCCCGAAAATCTGCAACCCCTAATTGAAAACAGAGAGATCTCAATATTAACAACCTCCGGCTCCTCATTCTCGAAGGCACGATGTCAGGATACAAGATATAACCCTGATTTGTGGAACGAGTTTACAAATCTGGGTCTACGAGAAGCATGGATCAGGTCGATAGACTTCCTAGAATTAAGCTAGGGGCCCTAAATGAGCCCCTAAGCAAAACTGATAACGTTGGGGATGTCTCATCATCCTCTCAGTAAGTCAAGTACCCTCATAAAGCACCGATGAAACATGTGCGTGTGGGGGGTGGTGGTACTTTATTTGGCTTCCTACTGAACACAGAGCCTTACGCTTGACGCTTGTTGCCACTGCCGTTGAAGAACAGGTGATAGCCGAACTTAACGGTTATCTTTCTGGGAAAACTGTTACTGTTTTCTGGCTGCAACTCAGATAGGGACGGTCGATGTATGAGCAATGAGAGTTGAGTACTTGGAGGTCATGGGTAGTTATAAGTCGGGTTATAAGTAGGATAGCTATACTTATAACAGTAACACATATTAGGAGACTTATAACCCCACTTATAACTACCCATGAACCTCCGAGTACTGGATTTAGGAGCACGCCAGTAAAGTGTTGAGACTGTTGGTGGCTCTTTAGATGAGGGTGCGTTGTGCGGGCTCTTTGCTACAAGATTGACGCTTCTTCTGGAGTTCCTGGTTCATGTTTCTCCTGGTTTATGCTTCAGAGTTTAATCGCAGTCCTGGGTTCGGATTTCGGGCATTTGGTTTATGGCTGCGGGAGTTTAGGCAATTAAGATGTAGCCTGCTCGAGATGGTGCTTTGGTGCGGTCAGTTTTACTCCGCAAGGATCGGCCGGCTTGTTCCACGAGGCACCGACTACGGGCCAGCTCCGTGAAATGGACACGTCGCCATGGGCCCAAAGCTAGTGACGCACGCTACCGCCTCACCTTGCAGGGTGCTCCCGTTTCGATAGATCACAGAACCTATGCACCCGAAACTTAGGTATCCCACCTGGCGGTCAATGTCCTGCTCTTTGCCAATATCTGGGAGGCTATATTGTGTTAGTTGTTATCTCGGAAACTCCAACATGTGAGAAGACGGGGGGGTCGCTCAAACAGGTGTGCAGGGTCCAGCACCTGCGAATTTTCTGCGTGGAGAAAATATGTTTTGTGAACTTGCTTTCGTATACTATATAGCAGGTATCCGGACGGAAAACAGCCGTGCACGTTGCACAGGGTTTGTTTGGAACAACCCAAACAGACACCTGTGTGTGAAACCATCAGGAGCTCGAATTTCTTGGGTTCTCCACCCCGAGCCCCAGAAACCCCGAAACCCTAAACCCCAGTTGTGCATGCTCGACATTCTCGAACATCACACGCTAATGCTGCCTTGAAGCTCGAAAGAACCAGAAGTTTCTTCAATACCTGCTCCGGGCCAGTTATGCAACAAAACCAGGGCTGGCTAATCTGCGCTCCCAGATGATACTTCAGCCAAGTCAGCAAGCTCACTGGGAGTCCCCCGCCACTTTTCCTGAGCATCTTGAAAGTTAAGGCTTTGGTTCATAAACCCTAAAACCCTAAGGAATTGAGAGTCGGGATTTCGGGCACTGTGCCAAGTCTCTTCGAACCGCAGATCACGAAAATGCAGCCACAGATGGCCCCGCCTTGACCTCGCCGGTTTTTTGCTTGGAACTCAGGGTTTTGCGGCGGATAAACGTGCTGGCCTCCGGGGATAAGAGTATATGTATTTAGCTTAAAGGCAAAATGCAGAAAGCCAGCACAGCATAGTAAAGCATAGCACAGTTGAGTAGACTTTATTATGGTATAGTAAAAACTAGTCTAGCATAGTATGGTACGGTCAAGTGCAGAACGGTATAGTAGTGTATGCCAGGCTCTGCATCATCATCTGGGCCTAAGACATCTGAGCTGCTCGCCCGAATCCAAGATATCTTCATCCAAGTCCGTTTACAACTCTGAAGGGCAAGCCCAATCCAAACAAAACGAACAAGTGTCTAGGCTCTGCATGGAGCAGCGTGCAGTGAAGGAACTACTTGGGGGCCTTAGGGTAAGGAACCCCACAATAGTAAATACTTAGGCCCCCCATATTTCCGTAGGTCCCCAGAAACTCCAATATCCCTCAATTAAGGAATATTCCTTAAATCATGTTAGGGATCCTAATATAATTTAAGGTATATTCCTTAATTAAGGGGTTTTGGAGTCTCTGGGTCAGGCCTGGAGGTATCGCTGCAGGGCTTCAGGGAAACGCGTCGAGCCTGGACATAGCCCGACTGTCCTCACAGAGGAGGCCATTTCGGTGCGGAGGCTCCCAACGCTTAAAATATCTTACAAGCAAAAAGACTACAACAGTAGTACTAATACTGATACTAATAACAATATATTTATGCTAATGCTAATGCTAGTACTTATACTACTACTAATAAAAGAACTCCTGTAATTAGGCTTCAGTCACAGCAATCAGCATGTTTCGAGTATCTGTACCATTCGGCTGAAAGTCTAACTCGGGTTTTGGAGTTGAGAGGTTTTGTGCTTGAGGGTGGTAACACTGTTTGGGCGAGAAGCCGTAATCGTAAGGAATCCACTATGCCAAACGGAGGCATACATTGAAAGCCGACACCCCGCACCGCCCTCTGTAGACTCATAACCCGAATGGAGCACTTCAGAACTCCATGATCGCGGTAGCTATACTCCCCTTAGAACCACAATGAAACATACTTTTAATATTCTCTTGGGTTTTATAACAACAACAAATACAAAAATCGAAGGAGACTATAGGCAGACCCAGGGTCGGTCGAAGGCCTTCACGTAAACCCTCGGCAGTACCATGAGGCAGTGATCGCCTGCCGCATGTCTCGCGATGGAGGCGCGGACCGTCTCCCAGTCCTGGGTCTCTAGTCCAGGGAGCCCAATACCCCTTAATTAAGGAAAGAAGGGTTCCTTAAAGGGCTCCTTAAAGGGATCTATAGGGGTTCTATAAGGGAATTAAGGAATATGGCTTAAATTATATAGGGCTTCATATTATGGTTTAAGCCATATTTCCTCAAGAAGGGGTATTTTGTTCTCTGGGAGTCGTTGCCGGTTGCGGCTTCGGCCTACAATCTTTTTTTCAGCACATAATGTTCGGAGCCCTAACAAGATCCTGCATCGATAGTGACCTCTTTTTACCCACTTATGCAGGCTTTAGAACAGCCATGTCGATCTAGGCTTCAAGATTTGCGGCTGTGGGTGTCTCAGGGGTTTTGCGAGGGGGGGGGGGGGCTTACAGGTTGTAACAGAGGAACTATATGAGAACGACTCGGGGGGATTGCAAAAATTACTGATCATTCCGACACCCATAGTAGCCACACTGCTGCGAAAGAAGTGACTGTCCTTGTGGCTGAATGCTGGCAGATCTCCGGGATGCAGCACTTCTATTCCGAATGCTGCAGGTGCTGTGGAAGCTTGGCCATCACCAGACCAGAACAGCCCATTGCGAAAGTCGAACCCCGGGCATAAGTTGAGCTATCGAATATGTAGCCGCTTCTCGTGCATTCTGCAGATATTGGAGATAGATAAACTAAGCTCGCGAACGAGCACCCTATTTCCCCCCCCCCCCCCACCCCAGCCAGGCAGAAAAAGGCCAAGAAGCGTCTCAAACCCGAAACTCCCAAACACGAAACATAAAACTCCTCACGCCCCCCGGCCTTGAACCTCAAAAAACACCCTTCCCTCACGCCCTGAACCCTAAAGCCAAATAGAGAAAGGAGTTTGAAGCCATAGCTCGGTTGGACGAATGAAGCTCTTCAAAGCAGGCATCTGGGAGTCTGCTGCAGCACCTTCAGCGAACCGGACTGTGTTGGGAGTTGGGGGTCCTTAAACAAAAACAGGTGAGTATTGTTTTTCCTTCAGAGTATGCTACCAGAAAACCTCGACATCTTCAGGATATACTTGAAGATAATATCACCGAAACCGACGCAATTTTCAAAAGTGCTGGTGCGAGGCACAAGGAATGCCTGGGTGTTTTCAATCTCAGTTCACGGAATGTTTAGGGCTAGGGCCTTGATGTTGCCGTCATCCTGGGCGTTTCGTGTGATTCCAGGTTCCAACAACCCCAAACTAACTTAATAGTTTCAAACTCTA